CAGTTTTTGGATACATTTATAACTATTTTTAGTAAGATTTCCCGTAATATTACTTATTTGCCTTTGTATAAAGTCAAAGCGCTTGTAAAAAGCATTCTTATGAAGAAACGATGTTATAAATTAGATGACCATATAGCAGACAAGAATGCGTGGACGTGATGACCTTCTTTAGGCTTTTTCCTTATGTATATTTCATAAGGATAAATTGATACTGTTGGGAGAAAAATTGTCTATTTGTGAGCTTTTTTGTCGCTTCTTCTCAAAAGGTTATCCGCAGTAGGGACTTTTTTAAGTGACGGTGTAGCATTTGACTTATGAAAAGTGTAAATTTTAAATAAAAATACTTTAGTTTATCTTTGGATAGTTTGAATACACTTTTTTGTTACAGCTCACATCTCCCTTTCGTAGGTTAAAAACAACCTGGTTTTACTACCCCATATATCATGTTCATGACCCCATGATCATGAGGTCTCAGTTTCTAATCCCGGGTCGAGCCAACAAAAGTTAGTTATTGAGTTTTTCTATCAAGATATTTTCAGCAGTAGGCCGAAGTCAGGAAGTTAGCGGTGTTTCACCCTGTGTCGCAGAAAGCACATAAAGCCGTTGGTCCTGTGCCTGATTTCTCTGCGGTCGTGTCGGTTTGGCGTCTCATCAGACTAAGAGAGCGAGGCAATAGAGAGTTTTCCGGTGCTTGCGCATACACTCAGGCACTATTATCTTGTCCAGCACCGATGGCTAGTCTTCGTTGAGACTGGCCGTTGTGACCGTAATTTGGAATTGGGTACATTATATTAGCCCTATCAGGTTGTTTTATAGAAATGTATTTAATGTTTTTTTTTTTAATTAAGTTCAATAACATTTTCAATTATCCAGCCGTTGTCTTAAACATAATATTGTACTACGCAAAATATATTTGTGTTAATATGATTGCGTAAACAATAAACAATTGCTTTAATTAAAGCTAAGATAACAAAATAAATCAAAACAGCCTCATGTAAAATCGTCCTTTGTTTTGTCTGCGTAAGTAAATGAATGTTGCCGATGCTAACGAGGCGCTTATGTTGTAGACAGAAAGTTAACAAATACCTCGAATTTGCATGAAGCTATTCAATTTACAACTACTTGTCGTTATTAGTTTGAAAATCTAAACATATAAATAAAATTGAAGTGTCTGTCTGTAATATTGAAAAAACTGGCTTCTATTAAGCTCAGTGGTTTATTTCAAATTAATACATAAATATTAAATAACCATTTTTACAATTTTTGTCTGTCTGTCAGGGCTAATCTTTGCAATGGCAGAACCTATTGTGATGAGACAACACGAACAGATTATATATAGACAGACAGACAGAGTAATGTTAGTGATCTAGGCTATATTTTATCTGAAACACTCGGACGTATTCAAAATATTAAATTAGCTGATATCTAAATAACGTCACATTAATAGACTTAGGCGCAGCCGGGGCGGGTCGCTAGTCAATAATAGATTTTCTTCAATATAGTTATCATCGCAATAACCTACCAGCAAATGTTACGGGTTTGGATGTTTGTGCTTGTACAATTTATGTTTGTAAACTGCGTCCATGATACAAGAGAAAATCCTAGTTTGAGGGTAGCTTTTTTTCAATGCAGAAGACCGGAGACCATTTTTTACTGTAACAATGCTTTCTATCTTAGTCTTCTGGGGTGACAACGCATCTATTTTTTAATTCATAACCATGTAATGGTGGTGTAAAAATATCCACCACCCCATATCACCTCATGTATCCCGTATTATGCAATCTATGGGCCAGGCCGCTGAACATAGGCCTCCCCAGTGGACTTTAATAGACTCTAAGGTGCCTATGTGCCTCAGAGTTCACTTACCATCAGGTGGAATGTGTGCTCGTTTGTCACCTTTATTCTAATTTCTTTATTCTTCTTCTTCATTCTAAATTGTAAAAATGGTTTTTAAATGGTGGTAAGAGCCACGCAGCAGTTTTTGCTGTTGCACGTATGGACCGGCTCGAGCCGGGTTGGTACCACGACCTCACAGAATACCGGCGTGAAGTAGAAGATTTGATTCTGCGTTTCGTCTAGTGAGTGCAGTTGGCTGGAGGCCCAATTCCCATCTCCCCCAATCAACATGGTAGCGGAGTTACACGAAAGAATACCCCAGGAGGGTACCAACACCCCTGGAGAATCCCTCGCTGAGCATCCACGACCATGTTATTCCACTCCTGAGCGTGGGTGCTCAGGCTGCCCCGCGTATTCTGGGGGGTGAGGGCAGCAAAATTCCGCTCAAAAACATAGCTGTTCGGGGCAAACTGAGTAACAATACAAAGGCGACCCCTGCCACGTTATCCGTGAATTTCTGCAACATCAGGGGACTTCATTCGAACCTAAACGCCGTCCATTACCATCTCGAGACGGCGACGCCGGCCTTACTCTTTCTGACCGAGACGCAGATTTCCTCTCCGGCTGATATTTTGTATCTCTCCTACCCGGGGTACAAATTGCAGCACTCCTTTGTGCCTCGGGCTGGAGTTTGCGTATATGTCAGAGAGGACATCTGTTCTCGACGCCTCGGCAGTCTTCAAGGTTCGGATCTGTCCATCCTTTGGCTACGCGTAGACAGCGATGACCATCCGCGCGCCTACGGGTGCCTCTATAGGTCCCATAGCGGTAATGCCGAAACAGACCGACTCATCGACCACGTTCAAATGGCTACAGATTCCTTGCTACAACAGGTCCCATCCGCAGAGATCGTTATCCTTGGCGATTTTAACGCCCACCACGCCGAATGGCTCGGTTCACGTTTAACCGATCATGCGGGGAGACCTGTTTATGACTTTGCCTTGGCATATGGTCTGACACAACTGGTTACTTTGCCTTCGCGGACTCCAGATGTGGAGGATCATACACCTTCCCTGTTGGACCTTCTGCTGACCTCTCATTCGGACCATTGTCTGATCCGGAGTGTGGTGACACTCACGCTCCCCTCGCGGTTGCGTTCTGCAGGTTGCCGCCCTGTTTGGCATTGCAGGTCGGCGAATTGGGACGGAATGCGGTCTTTCTTTCTTGGGTATGATGCAATCATACCCATGGGGGCGGGTTTGCTTCTCGCCGGATGACAGCGCTGTTGCTGACTCTGTCACTGATGTGGTGCTACAGGGAATGGAACTATTTATTCCATCATCTGTGGTACCCATCGGAGGCAGATCTCAGCCTTGGTTTGGTCGCCCCTGTAAGACTGCATTACGCAGTAAGCAGGAGTGTTATCAAGCCTGGGCTGCGGCTTCGGCGACTCGGGATGTAAACACCAGCACACTTAAAAAGAAGTATAGCTTTGCCCCCAGGTCCTTCAAAAGAGTTATTACCAAGGCAAGTCAGAGCACAAAGGCAGAATCAGCGAGATACTAATTCGCCTTCCTTCGGGAACCCGTGCATTCTGGTCTCTCGCCAAGGCTGTCCAAGGAAATTTCTGTAAGTCATCACAACCATCTCTGCACAGGGAGGATGACTCACTGGCCCACGCCGTAAAAGAAAAAACCGACCTTTTAGGCTCCCTTTTTGCGTCCAACTCGACTCTTGATGACGGGGGGAAAACACCGCCGACCATTCCGCGGTGTGAGTGCTCCATGATGGATGTGCTGTTCTCACAGCGCTCGGTTCGCAAAGCACTCCTGTCCCTGGACATCCAGAAGTCGAGTGGGCCTGACGGAATTCCCCCAATTGTGCTGAGGACGTGTGCTCCGGAGTAGGCACCGGTCCTAACGCGTCTTTCCCGGTACTGCTACTCCCAAGGCGTAGCCCCGAATTCATAGAAGATAGCTTTTGTCCACCTGATCCCTAAAAAAGGTGACCGCTCAGACCCGTCCAACTATAGGCCTATCGCGATCACCTCCTTGTTCTCCAAAATAATGGAATCCATTATTAACTGCCAGCTCATGCGATACCTTGAGGATCACCAGCTGGTTAGTGACCGCCAATTCGGGTTTCATCTGGGTTGATCAGCTGGTGATCTTCTGGTCTATCTGACCCATAGATGGGCGGAGGCAGTAGACTCCAAGAGGGAGGCGTTGGCCGTTAGTTTGGACATTGCGAAGGCCTTCCATCGGGTTTGGCACAAAGCGCTTGTTCGGATTAATCCGAGCCGCCAAATTTCACGAACGCACATCGCGGCCGAACTCTCGATACCATCCACACCATCTGGATGATTGACGGTTCACCACTGTGCGATTTAGAAGATGTTTTCTTCCTCGCACGACTTCCTTGTGGAATCTATTAACACTGGTAGAGCCACGCGGCAGCTTTTGCTGTCGCACGGATGGGCCGGCTCACACCGGGGTGGTACCATGACCTCACAGAATACCAGCGTGAAGTAGAGGTTGACCTCTGCGTTTCGCTCGGTGAGTGCAGGTGGCCGGAGGCCCTTTTTACTGGAAATGAGGCATTCCATCTCAGTCCTCACGGGTGACAGCGCATCTGAATTTTGATTCGCAAACGAGGATAGTTGTAGATGTCTATGGGCCGCAGCAACCACTTACCATCGGGTGGACTAGGTGCTCGTTTGTCACCCTTATCCTATAAAAAAAAATCGATTTCCATCAGAGATTTTTCCGGACCGATACGACTTAAGGACCTTCAAGAAAAGAGCGTTCTCCTTTTTAAAAGGCCGGCAACGCATGTGCAATTCCCTCCCTGGTGTTGCAGTTGTTCATGAGCGGCGGTAGTCACTTACCATCAGGTGAGCCGCATGCTCGTTTACCCCTTTCCTATAAAAAAATTCTATAAAAAAAGTGTAACCTGTAGTTAAAGGAAGTAGTAAAATTCGGGGACATATAAATTTTATGTTTTTATCAAACCTGAATATAAAAAGGTAATATACAACCTTACAGTAATTTATTATGATGACATATTATGACATTTGTCAAAAATACAACCATAAAAATGATTTATGTTGTTTTGAGACGGAAGAAATTTGACAATTAAACATTATCATTTTATTTATTTGTACTATGACTCACTACGTGCCTTTAATTCCTGAAAAGAAGTAAGTAACCTGGGAATACGCACATTATGTTGAATAAAACTATTTGTATTAATATAAGAAATCATTACGGACATGTGTTCAGAAATTACTCAATATTACACAATAGTTTATTGAAATAATCCTATTTTTCTTATGCGAAATTAAATTTTATCATGTAAGCCGGAATATTTGTAACAAGGGGGGGGGGGGGGATCTTTTCCATATAAGTATATTATGTAATAATGTATCGTGAACGTATAAGATATGCATATTATTATTGGTTTACTATCGATTAAGGGTGACAAAAGAGCACACAATATACCTGATAGTAAGTGGATGCAGTGGCCAATGGACATCTACATATTATATTATCGATTAAGAATCAAAATGCTTATAGGTTGTCACCCTTGAGGATCAAAATAGAATTCCTCGTTTCCAGTAAAAAGAATTCCGTTTATCTACTCTTACCTTACGAAACACAGCAGCGTTAAGTTGTTACTTAACGCAGATTTTTTTTTTTCTGAGAACCTAGTCCTTCCTTCTATTCCGCCCCCGGTTGAGTCGACTCATTACTGCTGCAGTCATAATATAGCTTCTTGATATGATATGAGCGTAGGTTTACCACATATATACAATGTAATAAGGAAATAAGTTATTGATTTGATTGTAACGTCTGGTACTTCAGAGCAACATGTAACGATGTCCGACCGCTCCTTCGCGAAGTGTTTCGTGATATTCATCCTGCGCCAGTACTCGCTGAACAGCTCCAACGTGAACAAAACCTTAAGGATGATAAAGTGGTCGACGCTCAAGTTGACCAGTGGGTAAGTGTTATTTCTCATTATAGCAATAATCTAATCTAACTTTTAATTACAAATATATTAAATTAAAACTATATTAATATTAATTTATAGTTACTATCAACTGACCGGGCAGTTTTTCTGCCTGTTCCGACGACCCTTCCTATAAATATTCCTTAAATTTGCAATAAACAAATAGTGAGGGTCACTTATCGGGATAAAAAATATCCTATCTCTCAAGTTAGACCAAACTGCACACTGTACAAAATTTAAAAATTTTAAATCATTCAAAATTTGAAAACAGTTTCGTAGTTTAGGAGTTCATCGGCGACAAACAATGTGACACGTAATTTTTTTATATAAAGATTATAATAAAATTATAATTAAAAAAAATGAATATTTGGGTATATAGGTATAACTGAGCAGCGGCCTCGGATTGGAGTTCCAGTTAAAAATACAAATCATTTGGCTTACACTGAAGACATCAGTAATGTTGTAGAACTACGGTGCAGCTGTATTGTGGCTTGGGAAGGACAACACTAGTTAATAATATCATGCACTTATAATGCTGTTGTGTTTCTTGTAGTGAGTGACAAGAACCGGTGACCCATTTTACTAACAGTGAAGCAGTCAATCTTAGTCTCACTAATGGGCGAAATCATATCTTCATTTTGATTCATAGTCGAGGGTATATATATTTATGTGATTATTTATGAATATCTACTTAACATAAAAACGTGGTAGAGCCGTGCTGCAGCTATATTAGTAGTATAGTTGTAGCACGAATGGGTCGGCTCGACCGGGGAAGGACCACGCTCTCACAGAAAACCAGCGTAAAATAGCAGCTTAACGCTGCTGTGTTTCGTATGGTGAGTGTACAGAACCGGAGACCCTTTTTACCGGCAAAGAGGCATTCCATCTTAGTCCTCACGAGTGACAACGCATCTGCATCTTGAGTCTTTATTGAGGATAGATGTAGATGTCTATAGGCCACAGAAACCACTTAACCATCAAGTGGACTGTGTGCACGTTTGTCAACCTATCCTATAAAAAAAAATCAGGTGGACTGCCAACTCATTTGTCACCCTTACTAAAAAAAGAACGATAAACTTTTGAAATTAATAAGAAAACATGGAAATAAAATAAATATTTAGTATGTAAGCTGACTGTAACGGCGTTTAGTGGCAGCGTTAGAGGTTTCACTTGGGTGTCGTAAGAGGCGACAGAGGGAATCTGAAACAGGAGATGGACAACAACTCAAAATAATATAAAACTACGGTTGCAAACCCACTTGCCAAGCGTGGCAACTTTGAAAAATATTCCCCCTATAGCTCCCCTATACCACTTGCCTACAATGGCAGAGATAGAGTTGAAAATGGATAGATTCGTCAGAATTTACCATAATGTGAGAGAAATGAGTAATAAAGAAAATTTTCAATATATTAAAGATGGACCAAAATAATACTAAAGTTAATCGATGAGTGTTCACGCGTAGATATAATATTATGAATGTGAAAGAAGTGACAGACGTATTTTTTATAGGATAAAGGTGACAAACGAGCTCACAGTTCACTTGATGGTAATAAGTTGCTGTGGCCTATAGACAGATGCAGATGTGTTGTCAGCCGTGAAATAGAATGCATCGTTTCCAATAAAAAGGGTCTCCGGTTCTCTACTCTCTCCAGAAGAAACACAGCAGCATTAAGCTGCTATTTTATGCTGATATTCTGTGAGTGTCTGTCAACATCGTACCAATCGAAAGCCTGTGTTTCTGCCTCTTTCTATCTCTTTTTCTCTCTCTAGGTAGCAGACGTGAGAGTTAATTTTTTTTCTATACGCCTGGCTACTGAATTTACAATTATACCTACACACAGTATCATTGACGCTGTTCCCCTTCGCCGATTAGAATAATCATAGCTAGTATGTACTTGATGGTTATCATCATCATCATTAGAACCTTTAACAAGTCCCCTGTTGAATATGGGTCACCCCCAAGGAATAGCTCAGCACGGTCCTGAGCCATCTGCATAGACTTTGTCCATACAGTACTAGTTCGTCACCCCATCTATTGAGATTTGGCTTAATCTCCCCTTACCGATACAAGATGCCCAGTCTTCCCTGAATGATGATGAAGAGCCACCACAAATAATAATTACGTACGTACAAAAGTAAGTACGAGACGTACAAAAGGTCATAAGGACATTGTCCTGTCTGAAAGCACCCGGTTCAGATGGAGTACGGGCGCAAGACATTATATATTTAGGTAAACAAATAAGTCCTGTTATAGCTTCACTAATAAATATGTCCTTATCTAATGGTATTTATCCTGAAGAGTTAAAAAAAGCAATCATACGTCCTATATACAAATCAGGAAGTCATTTAGAATATGTTAATTATAGGCCCATTGCAATATTATCTGTTATAGATAAAATAATCGAAAAAATTATTGTAGGACAGATTAGCGCGTTCTTAGAACAATATAACATACTGTGTGACTCACAGCACGATTTTCAGAGAGGGCGCAACACGGTCTCTGCTTTGATAAGATATTCAGATTATATTAATGACTGCCTAGATTCTGGTAAACAAATTATAGTACTTTTTATTGATTTTAAAAAAGCGTTTGACACTTTAGACCACGAGATCTTATTACAGGCAATGGACGAATGCGGAATACGCGGTCCCACAAATAATTGGTTTAAAAACTACCTCACTAATAGAAAAATAAGTACAATTATCTCCCAAGTAGTTGGGAAAGAGGCATATGTCGATTCGAGTGTGCCTACTGGATCGGTGTATGGCCCTGTGGGGTATATAATGTATGTGAATACTGTGTCAAATGACGTGCATAACTGTAAGGTGTTCATGTATGCTGATGATATGTGTCTTGTTTATGCATCCAAAGATATAACTGAGGTACAAAAGTGCATACAAGGTGATTATGAAAACATTAGCTAATGGGCACATACACTCATATGCATGTACACTCGCCATGTAATCGAAATGCTAAATGTGTAAAAAATGAAGATCTAACAGTGATAGGACATACATACGAATGTATGCATAGAAATAAATTTAACTGTAACTGTAAAAGATTGGATTATGTAGATAAATTTAAATATTTAGGTCTAACAATATATAAGAACTTTAATTAGAGAATACATGTAAATGACATTTGCAATAGGCTAAGATCTGTGTTAAGTTAGTTTTACCAATTAAAAAATGTATTGAACAAAAAAACGTTAAAAATAGTATATTTTGCACTTGCTGACTCGCTAATGAGTTATGGACTCCTTGTATACGGTCAAACCTTTGACATACAAATAAGACTAATGAAGTTTTTAGTTAGTAAAAATGTTAAAGATAATTGCAACAAAGACTATGATAAGTTGTTTTCCATTTGTAAAATAATACCCATAGATAAAAAAAGTAGAATATTTGATAGGTCTCGAATATTATTATAATAAGAAATATAAATTGAATGTTAAAAACAAGTACAACACACATAGGGCTAGAGAAAACAAACTGGTTCTACCAAAAATAACGAACTATTATGGTAAGAGAACATCTAAGTATTTGGTAGCTAAAGTGTTTAACAAAATAGATCTACTAAGAGAAAAAGTAAAAATTAGTAAAGGATCACTTAAGAAAAAATTGAAAAACATTATAAAGGATTGTTAATAGAACTCTATATACGAGTACATTGTATTAGATTAAAACATTACAATATAATATATAAGTACTAGATATTTAATAATATAATTAATGTTAGATATATATAAAGATATATAGTTAACATAACATTAAGATGTCATAGGTTTGTATATTACTATATTATATAATTGTGTATCATTGTGTCTAATATTAGTATGTACTCATAAGGTGGTTCATTGTTTTGTAAAAGAGCGCCTCTCGCCATCAAACGTAAAAGTTTAGCGAGTTTAGAATTAAGTAACACCACTGTTTCATAAATATATTAATAAATAAACTAAAAAAAAATATTCTGTTTAATACGACACGGACGAGACGAAACATGACTACTCGTATGGAACCTCTTTCATTACACTACACGGTAAAGTGTTGTTCATGTTTTATAAATGACATACTATCGCTCACAGCTGTTACAGTTTCGTGAATACATAATTAGAATTTACTCACAAAAGGGTTTATGAAACTTCATATTAAGACTAGCGATGCGCCCCGGTTTCATCTGGATAGGATCTATTAATGTCAGATTTTGGGATAATATAGCTCTGATCGCTTCAGGCATCATTCCCTATTTGTTCATAAAGTTTCTCAAAATTGATTCAGTCATTTCGAAGATTAACCCGGACAGACAAACAGACAGACAAAAAGAATAAAAATGTTTATTTATGTCTTAATAGTGTGCAAATAATCCCCTGAGTTTAATAGAAGCCAGTTATTTCAATATAACAGAGAGACACCTCAATTTTAATTTACATATATGGATATTTTACAGATCCAACAACATGCACTGGAAAGTGAAGAAATAAAAAATCGTGAAGAGCAACTTCAGCGTGAATATGCCAAGCGACTAGCTCTAGAATCACCAACTGCTGAACTTTCTTCGGAGGCTGCTGGCTGTGATTCCGAGTGGAAAAAACAACTTGGCATCATACGTATAGAGGATTTAAAACCAAGCCTTGAGAAATATAACGAACGCAAGTGCCATTTTCACTGTTATTTTAAACTTAAACTGAACTAATTTTAGCTTCTTTATAGTCAGCGATTATTACATAAGTCGACATCATAGCTTAACGTTTTAATTTAATTATATTCTTTACAAGTCGATGTCCTAGACACTTTTGGAGAAGAGGGGGTCTACATTTTTTGCGTTTATAAATGAAACAAAAATATCTCATTCAATAAATAGGTATAATTTCCAATTTCAATTATAAATATTTTATTAGTGTACGCAAATCATTAATTTAAAGAAATTATGATATAATTGATATAATTGTCACATAAATATTATATTTGCATCCACAGGGCAAGCCATTTGTACTAAGAAAACGTCGATCAAAAGTTTATGCAACTTAAATAGCACGGAGGAACAATTAATGCAATCTTTACATCAGCAAGATATCTCACATTCTCTCAAGGACTTCACAATACAATCAGTTAGGTATTTATATACCGTTATGATACAAAAATACCAGCATATAAACTTCACACTATTGCACATATTATGTCTTCGTGATATTTTATAGGCATTCAGATATACCGTGTACTGTTACCGTGTAGTGGCGGTAACTATCTCCTATCTCCGGCAGCAAATATCTTCCTATAAGGCGACCTATTGGGAGAGGCCTTTTTAACATGGGGAAATATCTACGCATACCCGCCTCGCGGGGACAAGGACGGGTTATGTCGGACTCGCATCGACTAAAACCCCATAGTGTTCCACCTTTGTCGCAAATTTCCATGGCGGCTCCTCCTCAGGAGAAGACAACCAACCCTCCCCACGCACCAGACACATGGCGTGCCTACCTCCCGGCCTCCATCGCGGAGGATAGGTCAAGTGGTGCATCGCCATACCAACATTCCTCTTCCTCCACGACTCCACCTCGGCTGCAGCGATAGGAGCAGAAGACAGCCCTCTAGTCACAGCCCACCAACACATATGATACGAAGTGGTCACCTCGGGTCGTCCCTTCACCTAGGGCCAGCCATGTTGATTCCCCTTTGTTCACCGCGGGTGACCAAGCCACGGCTACTAAGCCCCCCTCCCCTGCCACGACGGATACCCGTTCGGGGGAACGGGCAGAGGCCTATGTTTGCAGTGGATTTGATAGGCTGTAACATACTGTTGCATCTGTAACCTACTGGATACAGAAAGGTACCAGGGGTATTCCTAAGATGGTCCATGTGGATCGACTGGCGCGTTACTATGGGGCCAATAATGCTCAGGACGAGCATGGCTTAGGAGGGGGCAGTGTTGCGCGCCACTATTAATGTCTTGTACATGGCAACACTAGTCACCACTAGCGCCCTCTAGTGTCGAGTAGCAGAACTAGAAGAGTCAAGATCCTTCTAGAAATTTTGGAACCGATATGTACTCGAACATTCTAGATGTCGCTACAGTAGAAGGTTCTGGAAACTATCTGAGGCCCTATATAAGGCCGGTATAGACCACGACCGAGTTAGTATTGAATTGGTGATACAAGAGAATACTTCGAAGCGAAACAACTGCGAACTTAAGTGATCAGTAGTACACTTGTGTTTTATTATTAGTGTGGTTTTAGATTGTAATTAGTGTTGTGTAATTAAAATGTCAATTTTGGTAATTCAATCGGCAGTTTTTAATTGTCTCGAACCCCAAGCTCGTAACAATACGATGTTCATTGGCGTTCTTTTTCCTGCCAGAGTTCATCTGGTTAAGTATGTTAACCCTCTTACCTATTTCTGTCGTCAAGTAACATTACCTGCACTTGTGTGTGACCGTTTGAAGGGTAAGAACTAGTTTAAATACAGACTGTGAAACATTCTATCTTGGTCATCAGAGGTATTTAAGTATTTAAAGTTGGTTGCAAAAGTCAATAGGGAGCAGGAGATACAGTTATTGAGGTTTCCTGTCAAGAAATTATCAGTAGCTACCCGTAGTATGGAAGTTGGCGGTGTTTCAACCTCATACCTCAGGAAGCGCGTAAATTCGTTGGTCCTGCGCCTGATCTCTATCTGATGTAGGGTTAACGACCCATTGGACTATGAAAGTAAGAGAAGGGAGAGTGCGATTGGGCTTGCGTATACACTCGGTCACTATAATCCTGTCCTGTGCATATCATGACCGAAATTCGGTCTGGAGGACATTATAAGTTCGTTTATCATTTCAACTTTATAAGAAAAATATAATTTTTAGCCCGGATTTGATCACTACTGAACAAACTAAACTTTATTGCTTTCCCTTAGAAAAAAAAAAGATTCAACCGGTGGGCTTCATATGGGAGACACTTCTTCTTAGTTTTTCAATCTGTGCACGTACTATTTAAGCTACTGACACTTAAATATGTAATATAAATTTTGTTTATTAGCATGGGCGATCATACGTCACTGCTGCCTGTGCCATCATCATCAACACAGAAACTCACATCGGCGTCACCTCTTCACTACATCGTATGCGTGCCACCACAATTGAATTTTGTCAACTTCACAGTTGGAAAAGATCACGTGGTAAATGTAATCCCTTTTTTGAACAATATTTTATTTAAATAAAGTAAAGTTACAGCCACAGGCCTCCTTTCACTTCTACGAGGGTTTTAGGGCAAAGAAATGTCAACCGCGCTGCTCCAATGCGTGTTGATGGTTTTCGCGTGTCTTTAAAATATATATTTTTTTTATTTTAAGACATAATATAGGTCTCCTGACAATGTTTTGTTTAACTGCCAAGCACGTGGTAAATCAGTACTTAAAATTGCAATTAACAATTCCATCGGTGGCAGCGGGGATCGAGAAATGGTTGCTCGCGTAGTGTGAATTTTTCGTTAAGTTATTTCTCACATAAAAAATAATCTTCCGCTTGAATTTCTTTCGTATGTTTGTGTGTACGCGATTTTTTCCGAATATATACGACCATATATTGTAATTCTTTTCTGGGGTTATCTTTATACTCATGAGAGAAGGTACATGAAATAATAATGTTTTAAAATTTTTTGACACATTCATTAAAAATTTTTTTATTAATCTCTTACCCAATTCTCAGAAACGGCTGCGTTTAGTAAACATTTCAAAATGTGAAGTCCGTCTTGCTTTGCAACCTCCATTACGTTCCGAACTGCAAGTTGAGCTGCTAGGCAACCGGGGGATGACAGTCACGTCGGGCTCCACGTTGAAATTGCGAGTGCATTTTAAACCGAGGTTAATAATTAATTTGACAAAACAAAATATTTTAAAAAACTAGAAATAGTCATAACAAACCAGTTGACAATTTCTAAAGACGACGCGTTTAATGTAACATGTATCGGCTAATTGTCTAGTTAAAAATAGTTATTATTAATTTCATTAGCCTTTAATAGTCCACTGATGGTCAATAACCTTCCCCGATGTAGGGAGGATTAGTCGTAATTCTCTAATGCATCTCATAGAAGATGGCGAGAAATCAGGAGCTCATAACCGTTATGCACAGATGTTATTAATAAAAACGCGCAAACGTGCGTGAGCGTAATGACTGAGATACGGAAACAACCGACATCCTCCGATTTGCAAATACATATGGAGATACGACACACGCAATTCCCGCGGTTTTTTTTTACAGGATAGGGTGACAAACGAGCACTCAGTCCACCTGATAGTAAGTGGTTACTGTGACCCATAGACATCTACATCTATCCTCAATAAACACTCAAGATGCAGATGCGTTTTCACCCGTGAGGACTAAGATGGAATTCCTCTTTGCCAGTAAGAAGGGTCCCCGGTTCTCTACACTCACCATACGAAACACAGCAGCGTTAAGCTGCTATTTTACGCTGGTTTTCAAAATTAATGTAAATTTGAATATTTCACATAATAAACATCCACTTTGACGTGTCCACAGTGCTTGACTAAATCTCACCTGGTGGAAAGTGTTGACGTTGACGAGGCCAGTTGAGAAGAACACTGTTATTTAAAAAAAACTTTTATATGCGATTTTACATAGCATCATATAAACGTACTAAAATAAGCAAGTTTCACTTCATAAAAATGTAGAGCCAACGTTATATAGAATAAACAGAAAACCTGTTTTCAGGGATTTTCGTGCTGTCAACGATGAATTATTAGTGCGGGTGTCGTTGGGTAGCGCAGTGTCCGTGCCCATAGCATGTTACATGCAACCACCTCTGCTTGATGGTAAGATCTACACACTCTTAAAAACAAATGAACTGTATACTGAGCGCATTACTTATGCAATAAGGGTTAAATACGTCCTAGGATAAGGGTTTGGTGATGGAGTAAGAATATCTACTACTCTCCATCGTCACGTGGGTGTCGTAAGAGGCGACAGAGGGAAACAACACCAGGAGATGGGCAGCAGCGTCTTCCAAGTAAGAATTGAAAAATAAGAAAACTGTGGTTTCCCACCCGCTTGCCGTGGAAACAATGGCAAATGTCCCACCTATGACACAATTTTTTGGTCGGCCTATGTATAGCAGTTGATTTTTAATAGGCTGTAATGCGTAATCGCAACAGTTGACCATATGGTATGCGTTTTAATCCAAGGTCGGGCTAAAGTCAGTTATTGGGATTTTCTGTAAAGAAATTTTCCGTAGAAACTCGGACGGTGTTTCACCCCTGCGCCTCGCGAAGTACACCGGTCATGTAAGGTTGCTATTCCATCGAACAATGATAGTAAAGGAATAGGGAGCACACCTACGTTTGCACTCGCAATCGTGTACCATAAACCTCTCCTAAGCAACTCAACGGAGTTTTAACGGAGCCTGCCTGTCGTGAAAGTAATTCATTCTGAAGGTCATTATTCTTTTTGCTAAACAGTTAAGCACAAAACTTTTATAAAGCATGAAATGACAATATGAACAGTACTGTGGGCGTAAGAAGAGTATAAATATTACGTACTTCGGCACACTAATATTTTAAAAGTTTCCTTTATTTTCACATGAGTAGGTATAGAACATGAATATAGAATTGTTTTAATTTATAAGGACGTTGAAAAGATGCTGTGAACGTTTGTCTAATCTACCTCATAGCTTAAGCAGTTACTATTTGCGTACTTAT